CTGGGAAAATCAAACCTAAGAAAGTTTGGATTTGGGTACGTCAGAAATCTTAGAATGAAAGAAGAGATGCTATGCTGATAAGAGAGGACTTAAAGGAAACTCTAAATACTACGCACTGATAAATCTTAGTCTTCTCTCCTCAACATGCAGAATGTGGGCACTGGTGACTTAGATTTCTTTCTGTAGTACTTGATCGGCACTAGAAAAAAAAAAACCCTACATTTTTTGACATTTTTGGGTCCTGATCACGGTACAATGAGGTCCACCAATTGGGATGTTCTGCTATTCAAACAGAGTTATCATCGTGGATATATCCAAGGACCATGAGACACGTGAAGGAGCATCTCATATGAAAGTCGGAGACAAGAACAAGATGAAAAGAACTCAGAAGAAAGAACAGCAGTGTAGACGCAGAAGGAAAAAGTGATAAGACAAGGAATCATTAATATTCTTGGGGGCTAAGGGAATATATTTTACTCTTGAAGCAATAACAGGAAGCTGTAAAAAGTTGAGAGCATAAGAAAGTTATAGGAAGTAAAAACATTTTTAGCAGAAGTAGAAAATTTAATGTGAGTATTAAAGTTAAAGTGAGCATTCTTCTAAAAAGTTAGAACAAAAAGAGAGAGATAGAGGCTGGCCCCGTGGTGTAGTGGTTATGTTTGGCATGCTCCCCTTCGGTTGCCCAGGTTTGTGGGTTCAGATCCCAGGCACGGACCTACATCACTCATCAGCCATGCTGTAGTGGCAGTCTACATACAAAATAGAGGAAGATTGACATAGATGTTAGCTCAGGGTTAATCTTCCTCAAGCAAAAAAAGGATGAAGATTGGCAATGAATGTTAGCTCAGGGTGAATCTTCCTCAGCAAAAAAAAAAAAGTAAAAAAGAGAGAGAAAAATAGGAAAAAATATTTTAAAAATTATTGGACCAATCATGGGCAAAGCATTCAATAATTAGGTCTTTGAGAAAGAGAACAAAAAGCGGAGAAAGGGAGGTAAAAACCTTAAATAATGCAAGAAAACTTCCAAATATTGAAAGCTGCGAATTTCTAGGTTGAAAGAGTCCTCCGAGTGTTCAGAAATGAATGATAAAAAAATGACATCAATGCATAACATCATGACATTTCAGAACCCTAAGGATCCAAAGAAGATCCTCAAAGCAGCCAGAGAGAAATAACAGGTCACATTAGGAGGATGGTAATCAGACAGTGGAGCAGTCCCTTCCAAATCCTGAGGAAAAGTGAATTGCAACCTAGAATTCCATACTCAGCCAGGTTATCCATCAACTGTGAATGTAGAATAATACTTTTAGATATGTGGGATCTCAAAAAATGGGTCTTCTGCATATTCTTTCTCAGGACACTCTAGAGAATGTGCTCCACTGGAAAGAGGGATCCAACACAAAGGGAGAAAGTCCATGGATCTGGGTAAAAGGGGCTCTAAAACAGGAGCCAGATGAAGGGAGCATCTGGATGGTGGTGAAGGGAAGTCCCAACGTGAGAGGTGTATAACAGATCTGAGAAGAAGCAGTCTGGATTAGAAAAATGAGCCCGGAGGCCTTCAAGAGGTGTGCTTCCAAAGGAAAAGCAGAACTGATATCTTACCTGGTGTTGTGTATTTGACAGCTGAAAATGATGCTTCCCATAAGCCCAAATCAAAGATGTAATCAAAACAATGTATATATGTGCATATATATATATATTTTTTTTTCCTTTGGTGAAGAAGATTGTCCCTGAGCTAACATATATTCCTACCTTCCTCTATTTTGTAGGTAGGATGCCACCACAGCATGGCTTGATGAGTGGTGTGTAGGTCTGTGCTTGGGATCCCAAACCACAAACCAAAGAGGAGTGCGTGAAGTTAACCACTCTGCCACCAGGCCAGCCCCCAAAACAGTATTTCTGTCTTCCACTGTCCCTTTACAATTTTTCAAGGGTCACTTTCCCCCCTTTCTTCTGAACAAATTGTCCAGAAGTTCACATAGTTCATCAGCTCACTCTTAGAGAATAAAAACCTCTTGAAGCAGAAATTGGCTGGTTGTTCACCAAGTCCGTGAGTAAGCTTTCTTCTTCTTCCTTTGCATGAAGATAGATTGCATTTCTCAGCCTCTCTTGGAGTTAGATGTGGCCATGCTACTGGGTTCTAGCCAACGGAGTGTAAGAGGAAATGATGTACAACACTTTGGGGCCTGGCTCATAAAAATTCCTGATACAAGATGCCTCATGTTCTTTCCTCTTCTAGCAGATTCATGCAGAAATGAACTCGGTGGCCTAGGAAGCTATACAGTCATAACGGTGGAGCCATAAAGTGGAAGGAGACTGGGTCTCTGAATCACATTTTGGTGCTTGCGAGCATAGCCATCTGCCAATCGAGAAGAGACACTCCATTTTGGCAAGAAATAAATTTCTATTGTCATGCCACATCAAAATATTTAGTGAAACTGTCCTCTGGAGACTTGGAAGGGATACCATGTTTCTACTCAACTTATAACTTCGGGGAAGGCTTGGAAAAAGTCAGAGTGATGAGTATTACCATGTGCTTTCAGCAAAGACTGATGAGAAGGAGATGAACTCAGGAAAGAATTGGTCATTTGAAAGCATAAATGAAAGCGAAGAGAGAAAGACCAGAAATTGGGACTTTCAATCTCAAATATATTATCAACAAGTAAATTAGAATATCTGGTCCCAGACTATAACTAAAGCCATGCATTTGGTTTAACGTCTTATGTCCACCCTCCATCTGAGGTGCCCAGCTACTTTCAGTGGGAGAGGGGCAGGTGATTTTTTATCCATCCTGTCCACTAACCTGCCCCCTGCAAGCTGTCATTACTGATACTATGGGGTATGGGAATGGAGCTCAGTGGGAGGAAGGAGAATTTCATACTAACCTTGATTCTGTTGTAAGATGGGCAGATGTTTGGAGCCAATTTTTCTCTCAGGGCTGCTCGGTGGTTCTGCGGGGGCTCCTCCTGCTGGGCTCATCTGGCTGCAACATCTGCAGTGTGGACGTGCCCCTCTCGCTGTCCACTCAACCCAGGGTGTAGGCAACAACCTTCTACCATCTCTTCCTCATCCAGAGAGTCCTCTTGGGTAGGGCTGAAAATGGCCCTAGGCTAGCTCTCTGTGTGAGGTCCTCATGGTATCAACTAGAAATACTTTACTCCACTGCCCAACAGCTCGCCAACTGCCCCTCCTGCCTTCCGGTTAATCTGTCAGATCCTAGTCCTTCTGTACCTCCACTGCAGGGAACACATCTCAAGCTCTCCAGGTTGTCCCAGTGAAGCCCTTTTTGCAAACAGTAGCATCCTATCCTTTCCCCTTGGAGAAGGTGAACCTCACAGCCTAGCAGTGCACACACACTTCTTCATAAATCATATCATCGCCTCCAATCTCTTGACTCTTTTTATATCCTCCTGTGGTTTTCGAACTGCCTGACTGGTTCTGTAATATCTCCTTTAAAAATCTGCGTTTTGGCTTGATGCTTCTTTTTGTAATTTCATGTTTAATATATTGCTGTGACTTAGCTGAAATTTCCCATTTAACATCCTGTTACACTGTATTAGAAAAAGTTTCATACCTCAGTTGGAAGAATGGGGGAAAATTAGTTATAGGCACAAAGAAACCAATTATATAATAGCAATGTTGAAAATTAAGCAATTTTAAATTCCACATAAAACAAAAAGTTGTATAAGAAGGGAAACTAACTGCCTTCTCTCCACCCCACCTCCCACCCGCACTATGGCAAGCTACTGCTCACCATGCAGGGAATGCGAGTGATGCGCATGGGCCATCTTAGTCCTGAAAATATTCTTTGCAGATCAATTTCCTGTACTAGAAAGAAGCATGCAGGTGATGGATTTGAAAGGTGGCTTTTCCCACATCAGATTGCCCATTCCAAAATATTAAAAACAGCTAAATAAAATGCATTTCTTTGTATAATTTGGTATCTTTCTTTAAAAGAAAATTTAGGCCTGGTCAATGGACTCTTTGTCCATCCCATTTCTAAAGCTAGAAACCTCCATTTCTTTCCTTCCCTCTCGCTCATTCTTCCTGACCTCTAATCATTCCCCAAGTACAGTCAATCCTGTGCTGGTTCCATGGCTGACATCCTAAAATGCTGAAATTAGGAATGGTGTGGCCAAGTTGTCACCTTAATCCTGAAATATATTATAAACCAAATGTGGGAAGAAAATGAGCATGGTCGCAAACAAGAAGGGGCTACATCTGTAAAGCTTCCCCACTCTTTTCATCTGCAGAAAATGCTTGTTTTGTAGGTTAGGATTTTCTTTCCGTCAGAGCAAAGGATCACTGTTACCGCTTTTCTCAGCTCAGACAGGCAGAGTCATTTGTCCCATATTCTGAGACTATGCCACTGTGAATAGCATGTCCCATGCCGTATTGTAGTTGGTGTGTTAAATGGCATCTTTCTTACTGTAAGAGAACTCCTTAAGGTTAAGGATCTTACTCACTTTCGTGTCCCCATGTCTAAGAACAATGCCTGGAACAAAGGACTTAAGAAATGTTGAATGAGTGAATAAATGATTGAATGAATAAAAGAGAGGAAACTAGGATTAACTCAAATATGATTTACTTTTGTCAACATTTTGAATCTTATTGTAATTGTTTATATGTGTCTGTCTCCTCCTAGCGACAGTGAGACCCAGAGGGTGTGAATCCTGTCTTACTGATTCCAGCAGCTGGAATGATAAGCATGGTGCCCAGTGTCGAAATGTAATAGTTGCTAGTTAATGTTTGTAAAATGAAGAAATGAATGCACTAATTTATGAGATGTGCAACAACGAGCAGCCTGTGTAGTCCGTGTCTCGTGCATTCATCATACCAACTCTTGTCCTTATTTTTAGGAACTCAAATCTGTAGTTGAAATCCAAAAAGAAATTAGCTTCACGTGTCACTTCCCCTCTACTACCACATTCATCACCTTCTAAACCACCAATTTTGTTTTTTAAGACAATAATATTTGCTTTTTCTTTTCTTTTTTTTAGGTTGCCAGATATCGAATGAAGACTACGTTTACAAATGCAGTTAGGATAAGCCTTTTACAGAACTGGATAAGGATAAGGATAAGAAAAGGATAAGCCTTTTACAGAACTTTGTAGAACCAGTTTCTTTGTCTAGTCAATGCTGTTGGTATTGGATGATTTAATGAAAATGCCTGAGGCTTACAGATAAAAGGACTATGGAACAAAGTTATTACATGGGAATCCTTCCTGAATAATATTTATTGCGGAATGTCCCTGGCACTAAGTAAAAATAGATAAAATATTAGCATTTTCAAAACCCTAATCTTATGTCCACACAAGTGCCTTGCTCTTATTTTAACTCGGGCTTAACACTGCTTGACATCAGAAGAAGTACACCCAATCCTCATTTTTGGGCAAGAAGAACAAATCGCTCTTCCTTGTTCACAAGACAGATGGAGCATCCAAAGATCAGCTCTCTATTGGGAACTCGGAAACCACTCACTCCCAGGCCTACCGTCTGCTTCTCTGTACAAAAGACAAAAACCACTAGGAGGATCAATTTTTAAAATCAGACTGTTATGGGTAGTTGAAAATTTAATTTGCCCCCAACAGAAAAGAAAAAGGAAGCCTGCAAAGCAGGAATAAAGGAAAATTTTTAACATATTAAAACTGGCTATATCTGTCATGCTCAATTGTGCAACAGAGCAAAATGAGATGAGCATATTAGTGGCAGTTGAGAAAAATGGCTTTTCAAATTCAGTTTTTTATGAGGGTAATTTAGTAAGAGTAGTATAAGAGTCGTTAAGTACGAAATACCATAAACGTCAATGTGAGTTGCATTCTGCTTTTGTTTGGCTCACGGAGTGACATAGCATACCTTAAATCTGATGAAGATGCTCTTTTGGAAACTATAAAGAGAGAGGCATTAACACAGACTGAGAGTGGCACTAGATTCCCGGGGAATAGGGCTCCTAAAACAACCTTTGCCTGTCTTGTTGAGGAGATGGGAAGAGCTAAGAGGAAGCCTGTGCTTCCAACCCATGAGTGGTGTAAAATCAAGAAGAACCTTCTTGTGAGCCAGCCACCCACCTCCTACTGGGAACACAAGAGGAATGTAGGCAGGAGCAGTGAGCTTGTGGAGGATGATTTCAAGCAGGGAGGCAGGCGCGAGGAATGAAGAATCCTCAGGCTGTGACAGAAGGAAATGCAAGCCCAAACGCAGGTGTTGGCTCAGACTCCTAGAGGATTACTTCGGTTATTGTGTTGAGATGGGATGAAAAGGGAAAATCGTCTCCTACTCCCTTGCCTCAGCCAGCCTGAAAAATTATGGAGTGTGAAGTGTAATCCCTTGTAAATATTGGTTTGAAGGTCTCACCAACTCTAGAGAGTATAAAAACCAAGAAAATACACTATAAATCGAAGATCTCAATGGGAAAGTATACTTTTATGAGTCCACGTTTATTGAATATTTGCTGAGCTGAGGACAGTATGACAAATTTGACCTCTGTCCAGATACTTCGTATTTTGGACTCGCTGAAGTTCATTTTAGTTTCATCACAGGCCTTGCCCTCAGAAAAAAAGACTCAGTCCTTCCTACTTGCTGTACACTAGCATCCTCCTCGTTCTTTACCAATATTTCTCCAACCCTGCATAAAAAGATGTGGCCACACCATCTAATCTGATCTCGTCACAACTTTTTCGTGTAAATTTTCTTTTTTAGCCATTTGGTTCCTCTGAAAATTGGCCAGTGTTGTCTCCCCTCCAAGTTTTTGCTTCTCAGTGTGTCTTCATCTGCACTTCCAATTGTCCCTCAAATTTTAGCAACATTGAGCTGAGCCTCTAAAGTTTTCTAAAGTTTGGGTCGGGTCATCTTTCTCCAGTCTTTCTCAGCTCTCCAGCTTACACGGATGGCCCCTTTCTCTAAATCTGTAACCTCCACTCTGACCTCTGAGACAGCCATATCTGCCCTGGAGGTTTTCTCAAGGACATTCTGATTTCCTTGACTGTAGATTCCATTGTATCCAACATAGAATTTTGTTTGCTTTTATGAAATTTTATGTGTTGTGTGGCAGCATCTGTGCTGTGTTATGTGTGTGTGTGTTTGAGTGTGTGCACATGCACACTAGGAGAGGGAACGGAAGGTTCCATTTTTCCCTACTCTCATTCCAAGTTGCACGTGTTTATCCACTCTTTCATCCATGCTTGACGGAAACATCAGTGAACAATGACTACTAACCCCCTTGTCACATCAGAGGCTATAGTGGGCAGACACCCTCCTGTCTTGCACCATTTCTCTCTGTTTCTCCTCTGCTTGAACAACCTCGGTTCAGAGATGGGGTGGACATAGCTGGCTCAGTGGTTGCATGAGATCTGTAGGATGGCCTCTATACTCAATCAGTGTCAGGCATTCTAAGATGAGCTTGGGCAAAGGAAGAATCTCCAGTTTGGAAAACAGAAGATGGTAACTCCCCATTCCTCTATTTAAGGAGGCAGAATCCGTTTAAACATCATATCCTCTTGTTTATGGTCTCATTTTCACTTATTCATTCATTTATTCAATTATTTACTTACTACTTGATCTGTCATATATTAAGATCTACTCTGTGTGAATAAATTTAGTCAGGAGGTGTAGCGGTTATCTATTGCCATCATAATGCTGCATAGCAAAAAAATCATAAAACCTCAGTAGCATACAACAATACATATTTATTTAATTCATCAGTCTGTGAACCAAATGGGCATTTTTTCTTGTCTGAGCCAGACTTGACTGATCTCAGCTGAGCTTACTCATTTCATTTATCCGTCATCAGCAGGCAGTTTGACTGGGGACCAGCAAGTCTAGGAAGGCCTTGGCTGGGACAGATGAGACAGCTTGGATCTCTTTCTTGTGGTCTCTCATCCTCCAGCACATTAGTGTGGCCTTGATCACATGATGGTGAGAATCTAAGACAACAATGTGGGTGAACAAGACCTTTTAAGATGTAGAAATGGCACAAAGTCACTTCTGTCATAGTCTATTGGCCAAAAGTGGGTCAAAAAGACTCAGAATCAAGGTAGGGGTGGAGTGAATAGGAAATAAACTCCATCTCTTTAAGAGAGGAGCTGCAAAGTCACATTGCAAAGGACGTGGATTCAGGGATGCCATTTGGGCCGCCCATGTAACCAATCTACCACAAGGAGACCGAGAGGCAAACCTCCAGTTGGAATATAAGGACTACAAAAGGAATGTGTGTACAATGGTCAGGGAAAATTTTTTAGAGTGTTCTTCTACCTTGAATAAATCATTTTTAAAGGAACAAGAGGAAGAAGGATGTAGGAAAGAAGCCAATAAACTATTTCTGCCCTTCTTTTCTCCCCCTTTTCCACAATACTCACAAAGGCACTTACTATGGGAGATCTTGGTGGCATTCAAAATTTGCCTGGGGCAGCCACCCCAAAGCAGTGGGACTGAATCCTTTTGGAAGTCAGATCCTGTCTGCAGAGGTGATGTGAATGCATTTATTGTTTCTGTAGCAAAGAAGATGCTATTTGGAAACTAAGCTCTTGTTGAATACTTCAGATGCTTTCCTGGGTCTTCAGGGAAGTCTTCTCTGGGTTACTTTTTGTTTTTGAAGTCAGTAATGGACTCTAAGCTTCATTTCAGTTTCTCATTCTGCATTTGTCACTTGATCTCATTAGACTCCTGGGTCTCACTTGTATATCTGATTTAGACTTCTGTCAACTCTCAAGGCAGAGATGACTGCCTGTTGTATTTTACAGAATTTAGCAAATGCTAGTTGTGGGTTTAAATCAATGAGTCTTGCACTTTCTCATCCTGCAATTCAGAACTTTCAGCATCATACCAACAGCCTATCAAAGAGTCAATTGCTGTTTATCTTCGGGTGCTGTTACAGGAAAAGAACCAATTAGAACTTCTCAACTGCAGTCCCCTTGGACATGGCTATAGCCCTTAGCAAAGGCAAATGAGGAGGTGAAGGAAGTGACTGCATGGTTGAGGGAACTAGTTAACCCTGAAGAGGTGTTCTAAACACTTGAGTCACAATCTGCCTGTCCTTTTTTGAACTCCCAACAGTATCCTGTTCTCAGAAGAAATAGCAAATTGAAATGGATCTGGCTCTAAGGGTCTCATGCTACTGGAATGGTGTTGCAGCAGGATTTTCTTTAGAAATATTTAAGAATAAAGTAGACAAACTCACATTTTCTAGACTAGATGGGTTCTGTGATACCATGTACCATAAAACGTTTTTTGAGATTATCAATTTTCCTTATTTCTTTGCTTTTGACACACTCGTCTTGGTTTAAGTCTACTTTCTTAACAAAGGGTGTGTGTGAATTTGTGTCTACACATACACATGGTGCTCAGATTGAGAAATAAATCTGAAATACATTTTGAAAACCTCAAGTTCAAACCCTTTATTTTACAGGTGACTAAACAAAATTAGACAGGAGAAAAAATATCTTGCACAATATCTAGCTAGTTATTAGTTGTGTGTGAGGGGTGTTCTGACTCTCAGTGCATTCAAATTGCATAATTTATAGAAATCTTGTTTTATGCATGGAATGGCTTAGAAATGGTGGAGGCATCACCCAGAAACTTGTACTATAGTACAAGTTGGAAGTAATGCTACGTACCGACCAAGTGCAGAGAGGCGTATGACATAGATGCAGAGCCAGCTGAAAGAGGAGGCACAGCATGTGCTATCTACATGACATAATTTAGACCATAAGTAAATCTTCCCAGTCCAAAAATATTCCCACTATTACTACAGTGGCCATCCTTTCCAGTTTGCCTAGGATAATCCTGTTTTATCCCTGTTGTCCTGGCGTGATTAACTTTTACTTTAAAACATCTCCCTGTTTAGACAATACATTATTCAGTCACACTAGCTATCAAGAAAGTGGGAGAGACACCATTACTTTATGTCATATAGGGTTTTCAATTTCCAAAATCCCTTACACTCATTTAATAGAAATATTATTTAGAGGTCCAAAACATCAAAAAAGCTTATCATCTACTGAAAACAATTAGCAAGACAGGACTTGATGAATGTGAGGGAAATAATGAAAGAGAGTCTTTGAAAGGGAAGTCACAAGACCACCAAAGACAAACTCCTCCCACCTTCCCTGGTGCCAGAGCCAATGTCCAGTGTGAAGACTGGTCACCTGGCAGATGGCATGGGGCCAACAGAATGTTTATTGCTCGCCTGATTTAATAAAGAGACAAATCCCCCCTCGTTCTCTAAGCTGCAAAAGCCAATAGAAGTCTTAGAGTATTACCAAGGCCTAAGGAAATTGTTTTCCTTTAAAACATTCCATCAATGCTTTAATTGATTGTTTAATAGTTGCTCTTTTAAAATAATTTCATAAGTATTCAAAGATTTAATTTATTCATCAGGTTGCCCCCTCCATCCTCATCTTTCCTTACAACTTTTGTTGCAGAACTTGTGCATTTCTGTAGAAACTGTAGAGCTTCTCACACTCCACCTGTTTAACATGCACCTCTGTCCTGTGTATCTCTTGTACATGGGCAGCTGGGTCCAAAAGCCTGATTGGACTATAGGTGGCGGTGTACTCTTTCATCAGGAGGCAAATACTGTCGGGTTGACTGTCATTTTGTGATGTTAGCAGCCGTTTATGCTTGTTGCCTAATTCAGGGATCAGCAAACGTTTTGAGTTCAGCTATGTCCTTACTGGATCTGTCCACTTTGGAAAGAGGGGTGTTGAAGTCTCCAACTATAATAGTGGATTCATATTTCTCCTTGCAGTTCTATTAGTTTTTACCTCATGTATTTGGATGTTCTGTTGTTTGGTGAATAGACATTAAAGATTATTATGTCTTCTTGGAGAATCGACTCATTTATCATTATGTTATGCCTCTCTTTATCCTGATAATTTTGCTTGCTCTGAAGTCTGCACTGTCTGAAATTGATATAGCTACTTCCACTTTCTTTTGCTTAGCATTAGCATGACATGTCTTTCTCCATTCATTTAGTTTTAATCTATAGATCTTCTTTGACTTACGATGGTGTTACATCCCGATAAACCCATTGTAAGTTAAAAATATTGTAAGTGGAAAATGCATTTAATACACCTAACCTACCAAAAAACAAAGTTCAGCCTAGTCTAGCTTACACACACTCAGTACACTTACGCTAGTCTACAGTTGGGCAAAATCATCTAACACAAAACCTATTTTATAACAAAGTGTTGAAGATCTTATGTAATTTATTGAATACTGTACTGAAAGTGAAAAACAGAATGGTTGGACGGCTACAGAATGGTTGTAAGTATGTTGGCTTTTTACCCTCATGATCATGTGGCTGGCTGGGATCTGTGGCACACCTCCACTGCCCAGCACCATGAGACAGTATCGTAGCACATATCACTAGCCTGGGAAAGATCAAAATTCAAAATGCAAAGCATGGTTTCTGCTGAATGTGTATTGCTTTTGCACCATTGTAAATTTGAAAAATTGTTAAGTTGAACCATCATAAGTTGGGAACCATTTGGCTATGTGTCTTTAAAGTGGGTTTCTTATAGAGAACATACAGTTGGGTCTTACTTTTTGATCCACTCTTGACAATCTCTGTCTTTCAATTGGTGTGTTTAGACCACTGACATTTATTTATTTATTATTTTTTTAATCAAAACTCCTTTTGCATTTATTTATTTATTTGAACAGTTTTATTGAGATACAATGCACATGTTACACAATGGACCCCTTTAAAGTTTACAGTTCAATGGTTGTGGTATATTTACAGATACATGCAATCATCACCACAGGCAATTCTAGAACATTTCCATCACCTCAAAAGAAACTTCTCTCCCGTTTAGCTATCACTCTGCTAACTTCCATCCTCCTCCTCCCAGCTCCAGTCCCAGGCAATCATTAATCTACTTTCCGTTTCTACAGATTTCCCTATTCTGTCCTTTCATGTGAATGGA